AGATATGAGCAGTACAGAAAGTGCTTACCGGCCAGCTGGGCATGCGGCCACGGCCTTCCAAACAGGACCTGCTTTTCACTGCACGCCTGTGGCACAAACTTTTGGAGGCCAGTTACTTCCTCAAAATTTTACTTAAGTGATAGTCCATAAGGTGATTTTACCTTCATGCCTAGGAGCCAGTCACTTTCTGTTCCTTCTCAAATTCACTACGGTTGACTCCTACCACTTTTCCATTTCCAACCTAACAGGTACTTCCCCAGGAAAATGTCTGTTGTATGACACCCTGTGTCTTTCTTCACAGAAAATTCTGAATTCATCATCTCTTTGTGTGGGGCTTGTTTTCAACTTCTCTTCTAGCTCATGGCTCAATGTGCAGCATTTTATTTGCTAGTCTAACCGGTGCCTGGAACAGGACCCTGACACTTAATTGCTGCTCAATAAAATGACAGAACGGCTAATCACACCATGGTGACATGGGTACTACAGCAAGCATGCAAAAACTGGCTCGGGAGGTTAATGGTACAGCAGCACATAGCTCCTAAGGGCTCAGATTCTGGCCCTTCTGATGCCAAGTCCTAGCCAATTAACTACAGGTTAAGTGTCAATCAGTAGCCTAACAGTCACTGATCTCTACAGCAGACTATGTTAGGCTTATGTACCCAGGATCTTAACTGAGATCCCAACATAGTCTGAAAAGTGTTCACATTTCTTTCCTGAAATTTTATTTGATCAAATGTTTTTTGAAATGGCTGTGTCAGAGTGATTATTTTACTGAACTGAGATATTCAGCCTGACTGTACTTCCTAGAATAGACACTAATTAGCTACATATAAATTTAGCACATTCCTTATGTAAGGGATGTACATTTCCACTAAGTAATGCAGTTCTTGCATGTTCATTCAATTAACAGGGGTCTCTTGTCTCACTTGAGATTAACAGGAGTCTGTTGTCTCACTTTTCTGACCTACTACTAGCTCTCACTAGACTACACTTCCTGCCACGACCAAAGAACAAAACAAGACACTATGTGTAAAGGCTTTTAATGTACTTATATAATTGCATATGTGCACCAATTTTTTTTTTTAAAAAAAAGGACTATGTTCAGCAATGTGAGACTTTCTACAATGATTCTATTCACTGGGGAGAAAAAAGAAAAACCAGAATGAAAGAGTTTTTGAATGACAGTGAATTTAAACAGTGAGTCAGAATGAGTCAGCCTTAAGTATAGAACTCAAAATTGTAAAGGGACACTACCATAAATCCTGTGATGTCAATCTTAATCCTCTTCAAAATAAGGAAATAATGCTGCTGAGTGCTGAACTCCTGTTCTTAGCATAGCCGTGGTTTTGCAATGTGAGTAACTACATGGTTTAAAGACTAAACTTACAGTGCTGCCTGTGGAAATGGGTACTAGGAAATTTTACATCCTATACAACTGGCTGCAACCACAGGCTTGGTGAAGTTAACTAATACTTTTTTGGATGAAAATAAGATTGAGCAAACTCTTTTATATTGCGGTAATACAATTTACATCAGGCAGAAAATTCATAAATGCCAAACACTCCTCCTCATTTACTTATTCCACCTATAGCATTAGCATCTCAGGCTTTAAACTCAAAAGCTTGGTGTCATTTTAACAATTTTTCCTTCACACTATATACAAAATTGCTTTGTATTCTTCTCAATCTCCTTGAATTTTTAATTTGTCTCACTATTATATAAGCCCACAACCATATATTGGCCATGGAATTCAAACATTTGTTCAATTCAAAATAAAGGTATAATAATTGCCAAGTCATACATGGCTTGCCAATAATAACCAATACTTAAATCCAAGCCTTTAGAACAATTCTACAGCAACTTGAATTTCTATGTTTCCTTGTAAAGAATAAAGAAAATGTGATTTAGACAAGAATACCAGAAAATAACAGATTACTCACTCATAAAATCAATGTCAAGGGACTACAACTCCATCCACTCATTAATCAACTCTAGTAATTAGTACTAGATAGTTCACAGAATAGCACAAATCCATGATGTCTGTCTATCAAGGAAGGAGAAAGGGAATGAGAGAAGGAAGAGACAAAGTGGGGGGATGGGACCAACACCATGCAAGTTTTTTTTTTTCAAGAATCAGATTCAATGCAATCACTAAAATTAAAAACTCAATTTGACATCAAATTAGATACAATTGAAAAGATCAACTTTTTAGACAAATCTGAAAACATATAGATTGTAAGAAAAAAAAAGAAAGGGATATGAGATCATGGGCAACATTTAAAACTCAAGGAAATAGTATAGCATATTTATTATCAGAGTCCCAGAAATGGAAGACAGTGGAGATGCAGTTTTTGAAGAAGTAATAAAAAACTTAAAAGGACAAAACAGTATCAATTACCATTAATATTCACAACTCCAGGCACTTAGGAGAAACACTTACAAAAATTAAAGGGCAAAGAAGAAATCTTAAAAAGCAGAGAAAGGTCCAGAGAAGTTTTCAATAAGTGGGAATAAAATTCCTAAACAAAAACTGAAAAAAAGACAGTGAAATAACAACCTTAAAATACCGAAATAAAATTACTACTAACATAACATTTCAACTATTTTTAAGAACATCCCTCCAAATTTAAGGAAAAGACACTTGCAGATAAGCAGAACCGGAAGGGCACACCCTGAAACTGAGCTCATTCCTAGTCTCCTGGTATCTGGACCTGGACACCTGTACTATTAATCTCAATGTCTCTGACCCTATGGTCACTGCACCTTTCCACCTGTACAATTCAAATGTGCCCCTCCCTCCAACTCCTGCTGCTATGGACCATCACACTCATTTATTTCAGCTAAGTTGCTATAAACAAACCCTGCCATTTAATCCTAGTCAAATTGCAAGTATAATACTTAAGTTATATTTTAAAATCTCAAACAGATTAACTCTCTTCTGGTACAAAAGAAGGGCAAACATGAGGACTACTTTCTTAGAGTTTTTGGTCAATGTTCAAATCCAAAGTACAAAGACTACATTTAAGCATAACTTATTTTGCCAAATATTAGGAGATGTTTTATAATTATCTAGATGACATACTTAGTTCAAATGCTAACACAATTTAATTTTTTAAAAAACACTTTAGGGGGAAAATCATAGAAAAGCAACAATAGCCATTAAGACTTAAAATTCCTAAATTAAGAGTTCAAGTAGTAAATGTATTCTGTCTAAAACCACAGACTGTGTGTGTGTGCATACATATACCAATATAAAAATACTCTGTTTACAATACACACACTATAACACACAAACTGAGTTAGAGGAGTTTCTGGAAATTATAGATTAAAAATATAAATGTTTCAGCATATTTAAGTTAAAGGCAATACTTACTGATCCAAATAACAATGTCTACTTCACACTCTAAGGCAAAAGAATTAGAATCTCAGACTGAACATGGGTGCCTGCTTTTAAGCTCAGTACCTGGGAGGCAGAAATAGGCAGATCTTTTTTGAATTCAGAACCAACCTGGTCTATACAGCAAGACAAACAAAACAAAATTCAAATTTCAAAAACACCTTTAAAAAGTATATAGTCTAAGGACATTTTTAAACTCACTAATAGCAACTTCCATTTCTTAAGTTAAGCAACACTTCACTTACCAAGCTGTCTCAAATAACAAAGATGCAGAGACCCAGAGGCTAACGAAGAAAGGGGGAAAGATTTCTAAAAAGTAAAAGTGGGGTTTCAAAAAAAAGGTCATTATCCAAAAACAAGTCTCTCAAAACCTTCACTCAAAGCCAATTTATCCATTTTCATTCAGAATGACTTTTACAAACAATTAAGAGCAAGTTGATGGTTGCTTTTATTCCAAGTTAAAGACTAGACACAGAAAATTAGAGATGGGGAACGTACATTAAAATAAGTCACAAGACAGGGGCTAGAAAGATAGCTTAGCCTTTGCTAAGCTTTTCCACGAGACCCAAGTTCAGTTCCCAGCAACAACATTACCTTGGCCAGCTCACAATCACCTGTAACTCCATCTCTGCAGGGATCTGACACCTCAAACCTCCTTGGGTACCTACACTTAAGTATACATGCTCACAGAGACACATATAGACACACACACACAATTAAAAACAATAAAAAACAAATCCATTTTTTAAAAGTCATGGAAAAATTAACTATAAAAAGAAATAAAAACTACCAGATGGTGGTGACTCACGCCTTTAATTCCAGCACTTTGGAGGTAGAGGCAGGTGGATTTCCATAAGTTTGAGGCCAGCCTGATCCACAAAATGAGTTCCAGGACAACCAGGACTGTTACAAAGAGAAACCCTGTCTCAAAGAAAATAAAAAAAGAAAAGAAAAGAAAAAGAGAGAGAGAGGAAGGAAGGAAGGAAGGAAGGAAGGAAGGAAGGAAGGAAGGAAGGAAGGAAGGAAGGAAGGAAGACCACTTAAACTAAAATCTATTTTGATTGTAGACTAGGAAAAATACTATAGTCTATATGTGGTAAGATGCTAAAATAAAATTTCAAGTAATTTCATCAAGAATTCTTAAAATAGGGGCTGGAGAGATGACTCATGGGTAAGAACACTGACTGTTCTTCTAGAGGACCCAAGTTCAAGTCTCAGCACCTATTTGGAAGCACAAAATCATCCTTCACTCCAGTTCCAGGGATCCAAAGTCCTCTTCAGACAAAAAGCATGCACCTGGTGTACAGATATACCTAAACCTCCATGTGTATAAGATAAAAGTATTTTTTAAAGACTTGTGCTTCTTGCATTAAAAAAGAAAGATGGCTCAACAGTTAAGAGTACGTTCTGTTCTTCCAAAAGATCAAGCTGAGAGCCCAGCACCACATCAGGCAGCTCACAATAGCTGCAACTACAGCTTTGGGTTTCCGACACTTCTGGTCTTTGCAGGCATCAACACTCAAGTCACATGAAAATACCTACATGAAGACACACACACCTACATAATTAAAGATGTTAAAAAATATTTTAAAAGTAACATCAGTGATCACTTTGGCAGCATATTACTAAAATTGGAATGACACAGAGAAAATTAGCATGGACCCTATCCAGGCATGACATGTAAATTCATTAAGTGTTCCATATTAAAAAAGAAATCACAGTGGAGACAGTGAAATGGCTTATCAAGTAAAGATACTTGCCACCAAGCCTGAAGACCTGAACTCAGTCTCCAGAATCCACATGGCAAGGAGAGTCAACTTGGACAACTTGCTCTCTGACCTCCATATGTGAACCATGTACACGCAAATAAATAAATGTTGCTAAAACTCGCACATAACACTTAGTTTTCTAATCCACCAGCTAATACATTCTTGCAAGATAGTCAAGTCGTGCATAGATCTATCAAGAAAGGTGCAATCTCTGGTAGCCCTGAGGATGCAGCAGTGAGATTGAAAATACAATCTCATTCCTCTCCTCCCTTTCTCAATCCTACTCCCCTATGTTAATGGTATTTTCAAAACTTTCTCCTTTGCACATTCCAAAGAGATATAGAATGATATCATACTCATACACGGATGATACATAAGCATACATATACAAAAGCATGCAAAGGGTTGTACTATCCATGTTCTTTAAAACTTTTCAACTTCTTTCCCAGGTTGTTCAGTTCCATTACACTGTCCTCGCTGTGGGGTATATTATAGTGCATAAACATCTCTTCTACTGGCAGTCTCTAGTAGAGCGGGGAGACTGAAACAACGCAATTGTACAGGCCTTACTGCATTCTGTGTGTGGAGGAAAAAATATTAACTTCTTTACAACACTGAGCCACAGACTGGAATAGGCAATCAAGATGAAATAAAGACGAAAAAACATGTACCAGGAGCCAGGGAGATGGCTCAGTAGGTAAAGGTGCTTGCCACATAAGCCTTATGGCCTGAGTTTGACCCCTAGAGTCCATGTTAAAAACCAGATGCAGTGGCATGCACCTGTTATCCCATTAGTCCTATTGAGAGACAGGAAGCAGAAACTGGAGAACTGACCACAAACTCCTGGGCCAGCTAGCCTGGAGTGACTGCAGAAACAAGACAGGCCCTGCCTGAGCAAGGCAGAATGCAAGAGCCAACTCCTGAAAAGTATCTCGAACCTCCACACTCACTGGGGCACAAGCACATCTGCAATAGCACACAGACCTGGAGGCATGATGGGGAACCTTCTTCGGCCAATGACCTTTAAGAGGCTGAGCCAGGTTGGGGCGTGACTTTTTGGGTTCACAGAGTTCTCTCGCGCTCGCTCCCCACCCCCCCACCAAGAGTTCGTTATTTCTCTCTCTCTCTCTCTCTCTCTCTCTCTCTCTCTCTCTCTCTCTCTCTCTCTCTCTCTCGTTCCCACACACCCTGAGGTTGGACCTCTCATTCCTGTTCCATGAATTTATTTTTCCCTTACAATGAAGAATAATCTTGGAATACTCTTTTGGAGTTAGTTTGGGATTATTTGACTTGTCCCCCCTTTTACACATTCATCTTCAGAAGCACACACAATAAATAAGTTTAAAATAAACAATTCAAGTTTACCAACTTGGCTCTTACCTATAACACACAATCACACTAAACATCACTCACATTGCTAATTGTGGCCAGTCTCAGGCAGATGACATTTCATTAGTGTGTCCCTGAATTGTCAAACACTGGAGGTTCCTATATAATATTCACATAACTTCTCTGCTAATAAGAACCCAAATCATTTTAACAGAAATGCTGCAAGATTTAAAATGAAAAAAAAAAAAAAAAGCAGATTCCCTAACAGCTTGCAGTGGTGGTCACATGGTGGTTGTGTGTGGTTTAGAAGAAAGCACTGGGTTTCCTTACACATGTACCACCCACTCAAGATTTTTTTTCTTTTTCCTTCTGATGATTTTTGGACCTAAGGATACAAAACAGCAGCTAGCCCACACTCACAAAGGCAAACACTGAACATAAAAAGCTACTGTAACCGCTCTACCGAGTCCATCTACCTGTACAGCTTGAACTATTCACCGAGCTATAAGTTTCTTCCAGCTGTATGCAATTCTAACACTATACATCATTCTCATATTTCTGACACCAAGCATCTTCTCAGGAGTTAGCAGCCATGATCACTTCTACCCCCTCTGCTGCATCTGTCCAATCTGCACTCTGTTATCTCAGTCCACAAACAGAACTGCGGTGCATGGGAACCCACTATAGTAAGGTCTCTTCCTTTCCTTTCTTCAGTCATACTCCAAATTTCCCATTTCCAAATGCAGGTTTCTCATGGTAATCAGCATACAGGAGCGCATAGCTGCCTACCAGGTGTGTACACAGATAAACCCAGCCAAGGAGAGAGAAACCATAAGCAGGAAGCAGGAGCTTCAGAACCACTACTCCAAAACACTGCTTCATTGACATTTTGGATTGTGCACTTTACAGAAAGATAAGGGCCTTCACAAAATTATTTAAAACTTCAAGGAATATTCAAACATTCTTAAGAAATACTTTCATTAGTCTAAGCCATATTTTTAAGATCCAGCATCTATAATTTGTTAATGTTTCTGGTAAATGCAGTAATGAACCCAGCAGATGTTCAGGTAATCATTAAAAGCTCTCCATGACTAAGTAGTATAATAACCTTTATTAATCACTGCATCTGGTATCTGCCAAACAGGAGAGAAACAATACTCAAGCAGCCGGTTTTCAAAGAGTAACAAGTTACTTGAATGAAGATGTTTCAGCACGTTTAAATGACATTTAAATTATATTATGATAGTGGTACAAACAAACATTTAATTCCAAGCACCAATCTAAATACTACTCAAACCCAAATTACTCTCTGGAGAATGTTCATAATATCTACTGGGCAGTCTGTTTCAGTAGTAGAGTCATACTGAATGCTCTCAGTACTGAAGCAACCAACTACATTTACCAATTACCCGTTAGTTGTATGTACATTCATCACTGATGATAAGCTATAACCAGACAAGTACAGATACGGATCACTGCATTCTTCAAATTAGCTTTCTCCAAAACTCAAAGTCATGGCTTAATAAAAAATACTCAAAAATTAAATACATACATGCTGTAAGGTAGTGTGTGGGAATATGCTCAAAACGTTACTCTAAGTCATTCCAAATGGAGCTGGGTATCTCTACTCTTGCATGCCCAGATAGTTCCTACTCCAGTCACCCTGACAAAATCCAAAAGAACACAAATACTTTCAGTGTCTCGGTGTCTCCAAGGCCCAAGTGTCTTCATATGTAAAACCATACATTTGATATGTATCTGCAATTTTGTAATAATCCACTCTTCACCAACATAACGTAAGGTAGCACACACAATATGTATCTGATCATACAAGCCATCTCAATGTAACTATCAACACTGTTATACTAATAAGCGGATGTATTGTATCATACACCACAAGCAACCATCAGCCTACAAGTTAGTTTTATGGGGTTTTTCCATGTGGATTCAACAACCTTAAATCAAACCTTGCTTGATACATTATTTCGCATTCTTTCGTTTGATACTATGTTTTCCTGTGTGATGAGTGTCTGAGTACAATCAGGAGAAACACAGGAGATAACTTAAAGCATTGAGAAGCCAGGACCAGAACCCTGTAATTAAAGTACCATCCAGAAGGTGCTGACATCAGTGATCTGCATGTCGTGGTATTGCAGGGAAGCAAATGATAATAATAGAAATACCTCGCTCCTCTTCACAGAGACATGGACAGAAGCAGAAATACTCTCAGCATGTTTCAGAGATGCCATCACAGATGGTGGAATGGGTGTGGGGTTCCTGTCACTTCAGAGAGTACTTGAAAAAAATATAGTTTTGATATTAATGAAAATACTAGTTACCCTTCAAAACCAAATGGCTCTTCTATTGAACAAGCACACCCTGAACATTTATTGTGTGCATAAATAAGACGCACATTCTAAGGGAGTTTACATACCATCTAAAGAGGGGTATCAACAGCATTAAATATTTTTCAACCAAGGCTGTGATGAGCTGAAACAGAAGGAACAGACTAGATGAGGATGGTAGAAAGTCAGCAACTGCAAGGTGCAGGCTGGCAAAGGTACTGCTCTGCCCAGAAGCCTCGAACTGTGTGATAAATGCTTACAGCGTGGGCAGAAACAGTGTTCTCAATTATGACAAAATATGAAAATAAAAAGTACACTTCACTTTTCCTTAAAAGCCAACAGAAAACAGAGGAAGAACAAAAAGATTACCAAACAATAAATCATAAAATATAATAAATCTAAATGTATAATGTATAATAAATTGATTTAACATGTATAATGTATAAAAATGTAAAATCATAAACTATAATAAATATAAATGTATAATGTACACTAAATGTATTATAAATATATTCAACAGGAATAACTATATAATAATGTATAAAAATGTGTAATAAATATTTAACAAACATTTGTTTATTTAACAAACATTTTTCCTGTTTGCCAAGTGCTGCTTTACAAATATTGACTCACTTTCTCCACAATTAACAACCTTATAAGAATCTCTGTCCTGATGGGCAGTGGCAGCAGGAGCAGCGCACAACTTTAATTCCAACAATCAGAGGCAAAGGCAGGCAGATCTCTCTGTTTCAAGGCCAGCCTCATCTACAAAGTAAGTTCCAGGGCAGCCTGGGCTACAAAGAGAAACCCCTGTCTCACAAATATAAACAAACAAACAGCCATCTGTCCCCTTTTATACTCTGAAGAAATTAAGGCATACCAAGAACCAAGTAACCTGCTCAAGGGCATGTGATCTAGTGAATACTAAACTCAAAGGCAAACCCAGACAGGCAGATCTATGCACTACTGCCATCTGACTGCACTGTGGCTACTGAACACTCACCCTGTGCATATATAACTGAGGGATTGACATAGTTCTGTCTTATTTAATTTTAATTATTCCAATAAGCACATATGGCTAGTAGCCACCACATGCAAAATTCTCATCACTACCCAGCATAGCTGCTACTGACCGTCTAGAGAGAGGAAGTCTGTCAGGTAGTCCATCCCACTCAACTTGAAGCAAGTAATCAATTCAAAGGTAACCTTTGAATAAGTTAAGAGGCTCAAGCTGTGACTGACCAAAAACTTACTGCCTTAATGCG